GCTATTAAGCTGCGATTGCAATGCTACCGCGGATTTCTTCTGAATTAAGTGAGTGCGCATATCTGAAACCAAACTACTCACGGACTCGTAGCTAGATTTTAACCTCAGCTTGGCGCTAGGGGTCAGTCTAGTTTTCAAAACGAAATCAATTAATTGTTTTTTGCCATTTTCGTTAAGCATCACAATACTATCTATCAGTTGAGTAGTAATATTTTCGTGGCCTGTCATTATTGGCAATAGGGCTATTGCCGTTTTTTAAATCAAAGGGAAAAGAAAAGATACGTCTTCACTATGCTAAACGCGCTTGCGCAGCAGAGTCACACGGGACTCGCGCATGAAATATAAAACTTCTAGGTAATGCACTACACAGCATTTAGCTGCTATTTTATGGTATTGTTGCGCGAATAAGTCGACCTCATGTATCCGGCACTAGCGCCATCTAGTGTCATGGACGGGAGCGAGGGGAGCTTTCCAGAAAATGACATCACTAATCTTTCAACCGACAGCGCTATCTAGTCTCGGAACGAAGAACTAAGCTTCTAGAAGTCGGCACTCGAACTCTCGGCCCCTTGCGCGTGTTTACTTGAATATTCTGGATGTTTCGGTGATAATTTGTATTTATAGGCGCTGCAAGATGCGATCGGGGAAGTATTGAATTGGGCGAGACAAGCGAAGCTTCGGAACGAAATAAAGTGAATCAGTGTGATTAATTATTAGTGTTTTAAGTTTTAATTGCTGTAAATAAAATTAAAGTGTTAATTTAGGTAATTCTGTCGGCAATTTTTATTGTCACGAACCTTAAGCTCGTAACAGTATTCTGTGATAAAACATGAGGAAATAGACATATTCAGTGAATTCAAATTCATTTGTTAGCAATGTAAAATGTTTACACCATCGCGTAAGTCTGTGTCATATTAGTGATTATTTATAAATACTTCTTTCTAATAAATATTCTTACACCACCTGTACATGGTTTACTACAAGTATTGTCTAAATAATTAAGTATCACATTATGATAATGATTTCTTAAATTTACGCGAACACTACACATTGAATAAAATTAAATTTACGGATTATATCGCGTTTAATTAGTATTTTTACTTATTTTTAATTACCAACGTTTCGGGTGCTTTACAGCACCCATGGTCACGGGGCGGGGGGCTGAGATGTTTGACGTCCCAATGTCATTGTTAGCCCAGCTGCCTTCAGTTTTTGAATATCAATTTTTGGTCCGATTTACGCAAAACTAGCTTACAGTATCTTGAAGTGTTGCAGTGGTATGCTTGGGTTTGGGTTTAATTTTGTTAATTATAGGATCCCAAGCAGGTGGCAGCACCCAACCATTTTCTCCCACCCAAACATACTCTATTGAAATTAGGATGTTTTTTAATTTCAATAGCCTCGCGTATCATCCTTGCTAGGAATCGGTGTTCTATTGCGAGGATTTGTGGTTTATCAAATCTGATGTAATGGTGGGGGACGATCTTGAACACCTTAACAGACTGCAGACTTCCCGGAGCGTCGGTGCTTCACGTCAGCTATATGTTATTTCACGCGGGATCTTCTTGTTTGACCTATGTAAGATAGACCACATTCACAATCTAACTTGTACACTCCTGCATCTTGTAGAGGCATATTACACTTGACGGATGGTAAAAATTGACTAATCTTCTTCAGCGGCTTATAGTATATTTTAATGGAAGCTCGCTTCAAGATGTAGCCAACATTGTCTATGACTCCTCTGACATATGGTTGTACAGGAGGCACACGTTCGACTGTGGTCGGCTTCACTCGGTCACTGTGACGTAGGCGTGTGATCCGAAGCGGGTTGTCTTGCAACACTTGCTTAACATTCTGAAGCTCGGCGGCCGGATGTTTTCTGTCACAGATCCCTCGTGCTCTCTGAAACAAAGATTTACCCACGGTAGCTAACTGTGAAGGATGATGGTAACATCGGTTGGTATGTGTCTATTTTCTATACACAGTGTGACTAAAAGTGTTATCAGGATTTCGAACGACTAAAACATCTTGGAAGGCTAAAATATTATTTGCCTCTAACTCCATTGTGAATTGTATTTTAGAGTTTATAGATGTATGTTTTGAGAGAGCACGACGGATCTGTGACAGATCTCACGTAGCATCCGAGCTTCAGCACGTTTTATGTATTTTAAGAAAAACTGTTTTGTTCTTTATAATAAAGTAACATTGGTACAGTCAGCGTTAAAAGAAAGGTAGCGGTTAAGGTGATCAAATAAAGTGATCGATAATATTTAACCATCGAAAGTTAGCAAACTCTTCTGATCACCGGTCTTTCTCAAATATATCGGGACATCTCGGTCAAATTAAACCGTTCTTATGCCATAACAAACATAACGACAATGGTAGCGAAGCAGCTAAAGTACTCGTATAGGAGCTCTTTAACCTATGAGTAATACCTATAAATTTTAGCAGAAATTATGGAAATTGGAAATACATCATAAGATTAGAAAACACAGTCCGGTTCATTGCATTGCCGTTCGCTGTAGATAGAGGTGTGTAAATTATGGAAATTGGAAATACATCATAAGATTAGAAAACACAGTCCGGTTCATTGCATTGCCGTTCGCTGTAGATAGAGGTGTGTAAATTAAATTATGGAAATTGGAAATACATCATAAGATTAGAAAACACAGTCCGGTTCATTGCATTGCCGTTCGCTGTAGATAGAGGTGTGTAAATTAAATTATGGAAATTGGAAATACATCATAAGATTAGAAAACACAGTCCGGTTCATTGCATTGCCGTTCGCTGTAGATAGAGGTGTGTAAATTATGGAAATTGGAAATACATAATAAGATTAGAAAACACAGTCCGGTTCATTGCATTGCCGTTCGCTGTAGATAGAGGTGTGTAAATTAAATTATGGAAATTGGAAATACATCATAAGATTAGAAAACACAGTCTGGAAATTGGAAATACATCATAAGATTAGAAAACACAGTCCGGTTCATTGCATTGCCGTTCGTTGTAGATAGAGGTGTGTAAATTAAATTATGGAAATTGGAAATACATCATAAGATTAGAAAACACAGTCCGGTTCATTGCATTGCCGTTCGCTGTAGATAGAGGTGTGTAAATTAAATTATGGAAATTGGAAATACATCATAAGATTAGAAAACACAGTCCGGTTCATTGCATTGCCGTTCGCTGTAGATAGAGGTGTGTAAATTAAATTATGGAAATTGGAAATACATCATAAGATTAGAAAACACAGTCCGGTTCATTGCATTGCCGTTCGCTGTAGATAGAGGTGTGTAAATTAAATTATGGAAATTGGAAATACATCATAAGATTAGAAAACACAGTCCGGTTCATTGCATTGCCGTTCGCTGTAGATAGAGGTGTGTAAATTATGGAAATTGGAAATACATCATAAGATTAGAAAACACAGTCCGGTTCATTGCATTGCCGTTCGCTGTAGATAGAGGTGTGTAAATTAAATTATGGAAATTGGAAATACATCATAAGATTAGAAAACACAGTCCGGTTCATTGCATTGCCGTTCGCTGTAGATAGAGGTGTGTAAATTAAATTATGGAAATTGGAAATACATCATAAGATTTGAAAACACAGTCTGGTGATTGGAAATACATCATAAGATTAGAAAACACAGTCCGGTTCATTGCATTGCTGTTCGCTGTAGATAGAGGTGTGTAAATTATGGAAATTGGAAATACATCATAAGATTAGAAAACACAGTCCGGTTCATTGCATTGCCGTTCGCTGTAGATAGAGGTGTGTAAATTATGGAAATTGGAAATACATCATAAGATTAGAAAACACAGTCCGGTTCATTGCATTGCCGTTCACTGTAGACAGAGGTGTGTAAATTAAATTATGGAAATTGGAAATACATCATAAGATTAGAAAACACAGTCCGGTTCATTGCATTGCCGTTCGCTGTAGATAGAGGCGTGTAAATTATGGAAATTGGAAATACATCATAAGATTAGAAAACACAGTCCGGTTCATTGCATTGCCGTTCGCTGTAGATAGAGGTGTGTAAATTATGGAAATTGGAAATACATCATAAGATTAGAAAACACAGTCCGGTTCATTGCATTGCCGTTCGCTGTAGATAGAGGTGTGTAAATTATGGAAATTGGAAATACATCATAAGATTAGAAAACACAGTCCGGTTCATTGCATTGCCGTTCGCTGTAGATAGAGGTGTGTAAATTATGGAAATTGGAAATACATCATAAGATTAGAAAACACAGTCCGGTTCATTGCATTGCCGTTCGCTGTAGATAGAGGTGTGTAAATTAAATTATGGAAATTGGAAATACATCATAAGATTAGAAAACACAGTCCGGTTCATTGCATTGCCGTTCGCTGTAGATAGAGGTGTGTAAATTCTGTACCTGAGAAGCATATTACTGTAAGCGCCAAATCGCAAAGTTTACGTAATAGAAGATATCCTTTCAAAAAGTAACTATCTTTAGGTTTAGGAGGTTATAAAATTTAAAACAAGTGAAGTTAATATAACTGTTTTAATTTTTTTAAAGGGCTACATTATAAGCTTTTAAATTGACTAACAATGATGAGATCAATCTTTGTGTAATTCAGTTATTTTTAAAAAACAAAAAAAATCGGTATTACATACAGTGTTATGCCTGTAATTAAAATTTGAACATAATCTAACATACTTAACTTTTTCATGTAATCTAATTAATTTTTATGACATAAACTAACATTTAGGTAAGGAGATCAATGTTTGCGTATATTAGTAATTTTAAAATAATAAAATTCGGCAACACTTACGGTGATAGGCCTATATTATAATCAAAATTTGAACATTATCTTAACATACAACTTTTAAATACCTTTAACTTTATCTAATCTAAATACCTTTAATGACAAAAATGACATTATTAGCTAAACAAATATAAAAATTTTAATAACACAGGTCAGGATTTTCAGATTCTTCGATAATATCAGGTTGATTACCATGTGGTAGGTCAATGTAAAACTTTTTTTAGTTCTGGATCGGCAATCCATTGAGTTAACGTCACCAAATCTTTGTATTTCGCAATACTGATAGGACGAATGTTTTCATGAGCCTGTGGCAGGGAGTTTGACAATATAAGGTTTTGTCTAGTATTCTTTTTAAGATTGATCTCAGAGAACTCTTCGTCATGGAAACTGGTTTTATAATATAAAATACCATCTTTCTGCTTCCTTACCTGTAGCCACACACATTGTGAAATCAAAAACTGACCATTAGATGAATTTTTACGCCTTTGACTGAAATTCACGGACAGTGATTTAATATCTTTAACATTCATAAGATTCATGTTGTGTACTATTAATGGGTTCTGAGTTTTACAGATTTTAACAAACTGCTTCCAATCACGTGGTACTACTACATCAAAACTAGATAGTTCTTTTTTCTTTCTCTCAATAACTGAATGAACAACATCAGCCTCTGAATGTGTGTGACCACGAAGTAAAAATTTGTGGTTGATTGTGACAAGTTCCGTGTTTTGTAATAACCAAAAGTAACAATACAACAAAATAACGTTACGGTTTTGCCCCGAACAGTTATCAGACCATATTGTTATTTCTTCTGTGTTTTCACGCTTGTAATTAAGAACCCATTCTATAATGCACGATCCGACTTCATTGGCACCTCTTCCTCCTTGTGTTTCATCCCACATCATGCAGTAAGATTTGTTATCAGTGTCATTATGGATTGTTTCATTGAATGTCCACAGTTTTCTTAAATAGAAAGACTGACTATTTGTTAACAAGGGCGTTGCTAAACATTTTTGCATGTCCACCATAAGAGTTACTTTTTTTCCTTCCGATTCTTTAGCGATTTCTTTGTCTTCTCTTTTTAAAGCATACCTCTTATCAGCATCTTCAATATGTTCTTTTCTTTGCTTCTCTATTTTTTCTCTTTCTTCGGGATTAGTTTCGTGCTTCAATAATGATATGAACTTATCACAAGTGTCGCAAGTATCATTGCTAGGTAAGTAAAAGGACAAATTGAAATGCTCGTTGAAAATTTTTCTGTATAACCACTGCTTCGATATCATATTTTCTGGTACACCATCTTCTTTACATTTTTTTACGTATAGTTCGTACATTTTCGTTATATTTAAATCTGGTCCAAGATATTCGCGAGTTGTTTTTTCTCTCGAGTAATGACATATGTAACGTGGAAACATACAAATATGATTTTTAATCCCTGCAATTACAGAATCGGGTGTTTTGTTTCCTGGAATATGCTTTCCTCGTTGATCAGGCTGCACTAAACTTGTAGCTTCCGAAATCTTTGATAGCGTGGTTGATATGAATTGTTCTGTAAGGCAAAACGTGTTTAGAAACATTTTTTGGCAAACCCGGGTACGTACATTATTAATAAACATATTATAAATTCTTGTTTTCTTGCGTCGGCTAACATCATTATTCTGGCGGCTACGAGGTCGCATCACGGATATTAAGTCAATAGATGAAGCTGCAAACTGTCTTCTTTGTTCCCAATTTGTGGTGGTTTTCCAAAATGACTCAAAGTGTTTTATCCTATTATCATATGAAATTTTTTTCAAAGCATTTTAGTTTACAAGTATTCGGGCAAGCTTCCTTCATTTTCCTCTTCTCGATTATTTTTTTTGTTTTTGAAACTGCGCTAACATACCTTTCTCCCGCTAATCTTTTTTGTTTTCGCTATTTCACGTTTCCAGTTTTTTTGATCACGTAAACGTTTTCTTGATTTTCTCTTGTTGTTTACGTTTTCATCGACATTAGATTCAGACGAATCTGATGTTGAACTTATAACAGTCAATCGAGGATTTTTTCGGACGCGCGGGGAGGGTGACCAGTTGCTACTTGAGTCTGCATCTGTCTCGTACGGGTCATTTTCTTGTGAATTCAAAAGAGAATGGCTACTTTCTCGGGAGTGCAAAACAGAAGGACTATCTTCTCGGCTTAACATGCTTACTGGCGACTCTCGTGATAGTTCTCTCAAGCAATATTGGAAGTTTTCTTCATTTGCATGGTTTTCAAAAAATTGCAGCTGTTCTTTTGTTAAAGGTGACGAACAGCGCTCTTCTCTAATTACTGTTTCTAAAAAAATATAAAGATTTGACTTCGTTAAGTATTATAATATAAGTATTACTAGATAGTTACTAAGTTACTATATAGTATAAGTTACTAATTCGTCACTACTAAATAATAAAGGTTTATCTGTTCACTTTCCTCACAAAATCTACTGAAAATAGTCATAACTTCCAACTTCTTCCAATTTACCAATTGAAAGCAGTTAGGAGTTATGACTTTTTTTATTTTAACATGAATCAACAGGTTAGAAGATTACTGATAAATTTTTAAATAAATTCTATAAGAAGAACTTCATCCGCGTGCGGGACTCGAACCCGCGACCTGCAGCGTAAACAAATAATAAACATATTAGAAATACAAATGTATAATTTTATATATATTATAATAATTGAAACTTAAAAAAAATAAAAACTTACCAATTGAAACCAGTCTTAAAGTTTGTGAATTTAACTGCTCGTCTGTGGTTAGCGACTCTAAAAATACATAGGTATATTATTTGTAAGAAATGTATCATATATTAATATGAATAAATAAAACATTACTTCTGAACTATCTAAACTTACCATCTGGAATCGGCTGCAGAAGCTGTAATATCTTTCTCGTTCGATTACTGCACATTTTCGATGTTTTATTGTAAGCGCTACATAAAAATTGGCATACGTGTGCATTAGACGAACGCGAGAAGCGAAATAAAACACTGTATCTCACGCGATCTATTTATAGGCAAACCGCGCCTAGCTTCGCGGCATCGATGCAGTTAGCGGCAGAATAATGTAACTCCGCACTTACAGTAAAATACACGTGATTGTGAAGACTATTTTTAGTTTATGGTCCTTTACCCTGTTATGCTTTAAAGATAGTTTGAGATATACAGTATAATAAAATTTAAAATATTAAAAAGTACTTGGCTTTGCCCAGTTACTGTTTTATGCCTGTAAAGAGCGGAGCAAATAACATAGGATTGTGTAGAAACCTCAATTTCGTCGAAAATGGAGTTACAGTGTTATGCTTCTCAGGTACAGAATTATGGAAATTGGAAATAAATCATAAGATTAGAAAACACAGTCCGGTTCATTGCATTGCCGTTCGCTGTAGATAGAGGTGTGTAAATTATGGAAATTGGAAATACATCATAAGATTAGAAAACACAGTCCGGTTCATTGCATTGCCGTTCGCTGTAGATAGAGGTGTGTAAATTAAATTATGGAAATTGGAAATACATCATAAGATTAGAAAACACAGGCCGGTTCATTGCATTGCCGTTCGCTGTAGATAGAGGTGTGTAAATTAAATTATGGAAATTGGAAATACATCATAAGATTAGAAAACACAGTCCGGTTCACTGCATTGCCGTTCGCTGTAGATAGAGGTGTGTAAATTAAATTATGGAAATTGGAAATACATCATAAGATTAGAAAACACAGTCCGGTTCATTGCATTGCCGTTCGCTGTAGATAGAGGTGTGTAAATTAAATTATGGAAATTGGAAATACATCATAAGATTTGAAAACACAGTCTGGAAATTGGAAATACATCACAAGATTAGAAAACACAGTCCGGTTCATTGCATTGCTGTTCGCTGTAGATAGAGGTGTGTAAATTATGGAAATTGGAAATACATCATAAGATTAGAAAACACAGTCCGGTTCATTGCATTGCCGTTCGCTGTAGATAGAGGTGTGTAAATTATGGAAATTGGAAATACATCATAAGATTAGAAAACACAGTCCGGTTCATTGCATTGCCGTTCACTGTAGACAGAGGTGTGTAAATTAAATTATGGAAATTGGAAATACATCATAAGATTAGAAAACACAGTCCGGTTCATTGCATTGCCGTTCGCTGTAGATAGAGGTGTGTAAATTATGGAAATTGGAAATACATCATAAGATTAGAAAACACAGTCCGGTTCATTGCATTGCCGTTCGCTGTAGATAGAGGTGTGTAAATTATGGAAATTGGAAATACATCATAAGATTAGAAAACACAGTCCGGTTCATTGCATTGCCGTTCGCTGTAGATAGAGGTGTGTAAATTATGGAAATTGGAAATACATCATAAGATTAGAAAACACAGTCCGGTTCATTGCATTGCCGTTCGCTGTAGATAGAGGTGTGTAAATTATGGAAATTGGAAATACATCATAAGATTAGAAAACACAGTCCGGTTCATTGCATTGCCGTTCGCTGTAGATAGAGGTGTGTAAATTAAATTATGGAAATTGGAAATACATCATAAGATTAGAAAACACAGTCCGGTTCATTGCATTGCCGTTCGCTGTAGATAGAGGTGTGTAAATTATGGAAATTGGAAATAAATCATAAGATTAGAAAACACAGTCCGGTTCATTGCATTGCCGTTCGCTGTAGATAGAGGTGTGTAAATTATGGAAATTGGAAATACATCATAAGATTAGAAAACACAGTCCGGTTCATTGCATTGCCGTTCGCTGTAGATAGAGGTGTGTAAATTAAATTATGGAAATTGGAAATACATCATAAGATTAGAAAACACAGGCCGGTTCATTGCATTGCCGTTCGCTGTAGATAGAGGTGTGTAAATTAAATTATGGAAATTGGAAATACATCATAAGATTAGAAAACACAGTCCGGTTCACTGCATTGCCGTTCGCTGTAGATAGAGGTGTGTAAATTAAATTATGGAAATTGGAAATACATCATAAGATTAGAAAACACAGTCCGGTTCATTGCATTGCCGTTCGCTGTAGATAGAGGTGTGTAAATTAAATTATGGAAATTGGAAATACATCATAAGATTAGAAAACACAGTCCGGTTCATTGCATTGCCGTTCGCTGTAGATAGAGGTGTGTAAATTAAATTATGGAAATTGGAAATACATCATAAGATTAGAAAACACAGTCCGGTTCATTGCATTGCCGTTCGCTGTTGATAGAGGTGTGTAAATTAAATTATGGAATTTGGAAATACATCATAAGATTAGAAAACACAGTCCGGTTCATTGCATTGCCGTTCGCTGTAGATAGAGGTGTGTTAAATTATGGAAATTGGAAATACATCATAAGATTAGAAAACACAGTCCGGTTCATTGCATTGCCGTTCGCTGTAGATAGGGGTGTGTAAATTATGGAAATTGGAAATACATCATAAGATTAGAAAACACAGTCCGGTCCATTGCATTGCCGTTCGCTGTAGATAGAGGTGTGTAAATTAAATTACGGAAATTGGAAATACATCATAAGATTAGAAAACACAGTCCGGTTCACTGCATTGCCGTTCGCTGTAGATAGAGGTGTGTAAATTAAATTATGGAAATTGGAAATACATCATAAGATTAGAAAACACAGTCCGGTTCATTGCATTGCCGTTCGCTGTAGATAGAGGTGTGTAAATTAAATTATGGAAATTGGAAATACATCATAAGATTAGAAAACACAGTCCGGTTCATTGCATTGCCGTTCGCTGTAGATAGAGGTGTGTAAATTAAATTATGGAAATTGGAAATACATCATAAGATTAGAAAACACAGTCCGGTTCATTGCATTGCCGTTCGCTGTAGATAGAGGTGTGTAAATTATGGAAATTGGAAATACATCATAAGATTAGAAAACACAGTCCGGTTCATTGCATTGCCGTTCGCTGTAGATAGAGGTGTGTAAATTAAATTATGGAAATTGGAAATACATCATAAGATTAGAAAACACAGTCCGGTTTATTGCATTGCCGTTCGCTGTAGATAGAGGTGTTTAAATTAAATTATGGAAATTGGAAATACATCATAAGATTAGAAAACACAGTCTGGTTCATTGCATTGCCGTTCGCTGTAGATAGAGGTGTGTAAATTATGGAAATTGGAAATACATCATAAGATTAGAAAACATAGTCCGGTTCATTGCATTGCCGTTCGCTGTAGATAGAGGTGTGTAAATTATGGAAATTGGAAATACATCATAAGATTAGAAAACACAGTCCGGTTCATTGCATTGCCGTTCGCTGTAGACAGAGGTGTGTAAATTAAATTATGGAAATTGGAAATACATCATAAGATTAGAAAACACAGTCCGGTTCATTGCATTGCCGTTCGCTGTAGATAGAGGTGTGTAAATTAAATTATGGAAATTGGAAATACATCATAAGATTAGAAAACACAGTCCGGTTCACTGCATTGCCGTTCGCTGTAGATAGAGGTGTGTAAATTAAATTATGGAAATTGGAAATACATCATAAGATTAGAAAACACAGTCCGGTTCATTGCATTGCCGTTCGCTGTAGATAGAGGTGTGTAAATTAAATTATGGAAATTGGAAATACATCATAAGATTAGAAAACACAGTCCGGTTCATTGCATTGCCGTTCGCTGTAGATAGAGGTGTGTAAATTAAATTATGGAAATTGGAAATACATCATAAGATTAGAAAACACAGTCCGGTTCATTGCATTGCCGTTCGCTGTAAATAGAGGTGTGTAAATTATGGAAATAGGAAATACATCATAAGATTAGAAAACACAGTCCGGTTCATTGCATTGCCGTTCGCTGTAGATAGAGGTGTATAAATTATATTATGCTGCACCTATATTGGCATTGCGTTGAAAGCTCTATCTATATTTTATGTGTCATAAACCTTAACTCGTGTGTAATAAAACCATACCGTGCCTTAAAATCCCTATAGCGCCACCTAGAAAGTAGTAGTAAAGTCATTAGTTGATTACTAAAATAAAAAATATGATATTTAGAAAATAACGAGTAGAAATAAAATAATAACAACATAAAATCGGATAATAAAATGTTTAAAACAATGTAAACTTTAATTCTGTTTGTAGCTGCAAAAGAGAACTATGCTTGCTGCGTGGCTCGTCTGATAGATAGCGTTATATTTTTTTAACGGCTCAACCCTTGCGTAACACTGCAAAAGTCCCATCCAAAACCGTTCACAGGTTTTGCGTGATGCTTGTGCAGACAGACAAACAGACTGGCAACGTTTCCCAAATTTTTGTTTTGGCATCTGTTTCGATAACACAGATAAAACAAAAATATATTAATAAAAGAAAAACAAAAAACTTTGTTGTTTCTTTGTTTGTGTGGTTGTTTTTTTTTAACAATCAAGAAAAGTTTGCATTTTTATATTCGTTTCTGCAGCAATTTTACTTGTTTTAAACTATCCGCATAAGAAATTTACAGGGTCATTCTGTTAACCCATTAAATCAAGTGTTGGTTATATCTATAAATCTAATGGCTGTCCTTTACGAGACAAGAAGGTTGTAACTAGCAGCCCAACACGCTGTGTAGTAGCTGCTGTGTTTTATATCTTAGACCAGGGTCACGGGTTGGGGTGGATTTTAATTAACTTATTTATTTAATTAAAGTTTTCTTTTTAATTATTTTTTTTAATATTAGTGCCATAGGTTTCTACTCCTTTCACATGTTACACCCTATTTTTTTCCATACGGTAAAAAAGGTCATCCAGTATTATTAAAGCTAACTGTTCGCTGCGACTTAGACTGCGTGTAATTTATAATATATAGTTTTTGTATATAGTTTTTATGTATAGTTTGCGTGGAACCGTAATTATTTTTCTAAAATAAAAGTGGTCCAAGTAACTCCTTATTATATCTAGCAGTAAAGTAACGATCAAAATAGG